GGCTCGCCCCGCGCCGCCGCCGCCGCCGCGGCCGCCGCCTGCGTCGCGCCGGCTGCGAGCGCGGCGGCGGCGGCCGCGGCGGCCTCGGCGTTGTGGGTGTGTTTCGAGACGTTACAGCCATCGACCACCACCTGCGGCGCCCAGGGTTTAGGGTACAGGGTTCAGGGTTTAGGGCCCAGGGCTCAGGCTTCCACTGGAGGCACACACAAGCAGGGAGGCACCGCCGTGGGGGCTGGTGCTACAGCAGTCGTTGGGGCTGCTTTCTGTGCGACGCGCTCGCTGCGCCTGCCAGTGCAGCGTAAATAAAGTCATGGAAGTTGCGCCTGCACAGCCAGGGCCGAGGCGGAAACCGGAATCCGCCACCCACCCAACCACGCGCAGCCACACCCAGTCGCCTGCGCACCCACCCAGCCACCCGCACGCTGCACTTAGCCTACTCACGCACCCCGCCAACCGCCGGCCCACGCGCCACAAACACAATACGATTGCCAACCGACCGAGCCCACCCAATCATCACAACCTGCACCCCACCCCATCTTTATACCTGGAAGGGCCCGTGCCTGGAGAGCCACACCATAAACTGCCCAAACGCCTTGTCGCGCATCTGCGGGGCCGAGGGGTTTTTGGGGGTGCAGGGTGAATTGGGCGGGGCGGGGCAGGGTGGAGCGGGGTCCGAGGGATTGCATGTGCGCCGTTGGCCAGGCGGCGAGGCGTGCGGCCGGCGCATCTGCGCCCTTACACACGCTCTCTCTCACACACACACACACACACACACACGCGCACACACACACACACACACTCTTACACACACTCTGACACTCTCTCTTACACTCTATTCTCTTTCACACACACACTCACACACACACGCGCGCAAATACACCCACATACACACACATACCTGCTGAGCTTGTGCAATGGACGTCACCATCCTCTGGAGGTCGTCCCACTCACGCGGCTGCAGCAGCACCAGCCGCAGCCGCTCGCCTGCGGGCGACGAAGCGGTGTGGCGCATCGGCGGCTGGCGGTGCGCCGCATGCATAAAACCGGGCGCCTCGCGGCGCCGGCCGGCTGAAAGGTTCGACGGCGGGGGGTCCCTCCCTGCCAGGCGCAAGATCACGGGGGGAGGCAACACACGCATGTGCAGAGGCGCCGGCGGGGCGTGCTGCGATCTGGCGATTCAAGCGCGCACGCGCGCAGCCGGCTCACCTAGCCCCGGGACCATGCCGGACGCATCAATCTTCACCCGCTGCGCGACCCACGTGGCCCCGCCGCCGCCGCTGCCGCCGCTGCCGCCACCGCCGCCGCCGCTGCCGGAACCCTCCGCCCCCGCCGCCAGCCGCGCGGCCGCGGCGAAGGGGCGGCAGAAGGGGTGCTGGGTGAACATGCGGGCGAGCAGCTGCAGGGTAGCTTCTCGCAGCTCCATGAGGTCGTTCTGCATCCACAGCATCACCTGGGGTGGGGTGGGGCGGGATGGGGCAGGGTAATGGCGAAATTGATGGGTGGATGAGGGTGGGGTTCATGGGTTGGTCACAGACAGCGGCAGCGCAAGCCTCCGGCCGTTCAAGACGCCGCGACGTCTTGGGGTGGGCAGGCTCGCACGAAGCCATGCGAGACGCGCGAAGCAAGCTGCAGCGGCGTGCAGCGCCAGCTGCGATGGCGGACAAAGCAAGCTGGGGCGGCAAACGGGGCGAGCTTCGGAGGTGAACAAGGGAACCGTGACGGCAAACAACGCGAGCCGTGGAGTCGAATGCTGCCGTGGCAGGCGGCTCCCGAGCACGCCGCCCCGCCGGGCCGAGCGAAGCGCGTGCCCGCCCCGCCCCCCCGACCTTGGCGGCTGCGTCGTAGCTGTCCGGCAGCTGTGCGCGCATGACCGCCTCCAGGATGAGCGCGTACTCGGGCTCTGAGGGGGTGAGTCATGCACGGGTGACGCGGGTGACGACGAGCTCGGGAGAGGGGGGGCGGCACAAATTGGAGGTGGGAGATGCGCGCTGCGGGTGGGGCCGCGGCAGGTATGGGACGCCCGCGGCGGCGCCATGAGGGGCGGCCGCGGGGGCCACGCGTGCGCCGCAGGGCCCATGGACGGGGGTTGAGCGCCCGAGATGAGAGCATGCAATGGGTGATACCTGGATTGGGCAGACTCCCCAAAGAACCAGCGGGGCGCCCAACCAAGACCCCCCGTCGCCACCTCTCTCGCGCGACGGGGCGGACGCCACAGTCACGCCGAGAACCACCCGCCGCCAGGCGACACCCCGCGCACCCCGTCGCCGCCCCGCCGCCTGCTGCTCCATTGGAGCCGGCCACGACACACCGCTATGCTTTCTACACGTACAAACGCGCCCGCGGTCGCGGGGGCCACCCACCCCCCATGTCCAGGTGGCGGCGCCCCCATTTTGCATGAGTCACCCGACCCACATGTCGCACGAGCCACCCACCCCCCATGTCGCACGAGTCACCCACCCCCCATGTCCAGGTGGCTGCGCCCCTCTCCCAGCTCAACCAGCTCGTCCGCGACAGCCAGCGCGTCCCCGCGCCGCGCCGCCAGCGCGAGCGCCACCAGCGCAGGCTGGTAGTTGCGGATCCTGACCTGATGACGTCACCAGGGGCCGGGAGGGTGAGGGGGAGGCGAATTTTACGTGCCGGCCACGGAGAGGGGGGCCATCTGGGGGTGGGTTTTGTGTGATACGACTGTGCGCGGAGAGAACAGTTTTGTGGAGATTGATGGTTCAGCAGGCGGCGAGATGATGGGGGAAGGTGGGCCAGGCGTATGGGATAGGGTTTGTGTGGAAGTGGGTGCTGGTGGGGGCAGTGAGGCATCCAGAGGGTCTGGTCGAGGTTTAGTGAGCAAGCAGCAGGCGAAGGGCAAGCGCAGGGCGGGCCACTGCGTGGCACGCGGGGCGCGGCGGCGGCCCGCGGGCGCACACCTGTATGTAGCGCCGCGGCTTCTTGCCGCCACCGCTGCCGCCCCCACCGCCGCTGCCCCCACCGCCGCTGCCGCCGCCGCCGGCAGCGACCTCCGCTGCAAAGGCGGCTGCCGCCGCCGCCTCTAGCTTGACCACGGCGCGCGCGTGGCTGAGCGCCAGATCAGCGTCGCCCTGCGGGGCGGGGTTGACCGTTTGACCGGTCCACGGCCGGCACAAGGGGGGGGGCAGCAGGGGTTTATTTTGAGGGAAGGGATATGGAATGGGCGCCGTGGGGAACAGGCAAAGCAGGGGAGGGAGGACAGGGCTCGAAACGAAGTTGAACCGAGCCCATGTCCCCCCCCCAAAAAAAAACTTGACGCGGCAGTGACCGTAGGGAAGGGCCGAGGCAGCAGCAGCAGGGCACGGGGCGGGCCGCCGCGCGCAGCCGGCCCAAGCTGAAGCAGCGCATGCGGCCGAGCGGGCCGCATGGGCCGCGCGCCGGCCCCGCCAGCCCTGGCGGGCCCTGCGGGGCCGCAGGCGGGGGGCCGAGCGCCGCGGCGTGTCGTGTGAGGCGCCGCGGCTGGCAATCTCTGTGGTAAGCCGCGGGTCGGCCCCACACCTGGATGGCTGCCAGGCGAGCGAGGTGCATATAGTGGGTGTCCAGTGGCTGCAGCCCCTTGGCCTGCGAATTGGAGGTTTACAGGTTTTGAGCAGTTCAACACGTCTGACAGGAAGTGCGCCTATCAGTGTGGGACCAGGTGGGTGCCTGGCCCCACAATCCTGCGGCAGTGCCAGTGTGTGAATGGCCCCCGCCCCCGCCCCTGCCGCGCCCCGTCCGCGGCGGGG